ATGGAGGCAGATAGGTGTAATCAATAAATGCATTGAGATTCTTTCAAGGCCTATAATCATTTTCCATAAACTTCTCGTATGCTTGATCAATGTAGGAGAAGGTGTGATTGGCCATTGGGGATGCACCAGTCTTTTTGTCTACTCAAAGAATGGAAGTGCAAGATTCAAGGATTTAATGAAGTTCATAGCTTCATTATTCAAAAAACGGTTATGCTACTAGAATACATAGAGTCCATGCGCGTCTTAGAACGTAGGTGGATTGCACTAGTTCACCAATATCACCAAGTATTGGGTATATTAGTGCGAGGGATAATGTTGGCTGCATATTTTGTATAGGCCAATCACAGCTTAACACGTGGAGAGATGAGGGCAACATGGGGAGTTAATTCAAGTCTTCAATCGAAATCAGACACGTGGCAGTTAGCATTACTAATCATGGATCTGTATAGTACTGGATCAGCGGAAAAATACAAGATGATGTGGTCTAACGGTTGCTCATAAAGTTTAAATTCAAAATCAGGTGGGAAGTCTAACTGCAGGAGTGGCGTAGTGGGACTGACTGTGAGAGAGTATATTCAGTAATCATGGGAGGACATTTCGACGGTTGAAAAGCCATTTCGATGGTTATAATTGGAAAGTATAAATAGCAGAAAAGGCCCTACAATGAAAGATCCGGACTCAAATAAAAAAACCAGTTTATTTACTTCGTTTTTCCTTCCAGTTTTTACGTTTCTTTACATTTCTGTACTGCACCTCATTCCTAGGAGTAGTTTCAAATAGCTTGTTGTTGTAAACCTCTATGAGGCTAGGTCAGATCATTGTGAATTTTTCATTTTACTTAATGAAATTTAGATTCTGAAATTATTCTTCACTTGTTGTTATTTATTAATTTTTCTTAAACAAACCACCAGTAAAAAGTCCTCTTCATTGAGGCTGAGAGAACTAAAACACAATCGTCTGATAATTGGTTAGCAATTAATTTTCTGTAAGGACTAATTGATCCTTACTGGCACGCTTAAAATTACATTATTAACTTTCGAAAGCTAAAAAAGCCAATAGCATGAATTTTTTTTCTTAAATAGCAAACAAATTTTTATTCGATTGTCAAACCCTTAACGTACACAAAATTTTGCAATTCAACAAAACTTAATATTTTACCATAATTAAACACAATTTATAGCCACTAATATGTAAAAAGGCAATTCAACGTCAATTAAGTTAATTAATGTTGATACAGTAATCTCCAAAATTGAGATGAATTTGAGATCCAAAATATGAAAATCAAAGAGAGAGTGTCGAAACAATTAAGAGAGAGAAGAGAATAGAATATATGGATAATTACAAGTACATCTTATTTATTGGACTTATTTATTTATAAGTTTTGAGTAACTTTTTTTTACGTATTTGCCCTTGTTTTAATAATAACAAAATTTTAAGACTTTTTAGATGTATTTTGTATTTGTGGAGTGATTATTTGATACTAATAATGATATTGATAAATTTATTAAAATGATAAATGATTGGAACATGTTGATCTTTGTTTATAAATTTTTAGTTTATTTGTGTTAGTATGTATTGAAGTATGATGTGGGATGCATAAGTAACTAAATTGTATTTATAATTTTTTGTATAACGATAAATTTGTTGGAACAAAGTGTCTTGAATTCTTCAAATGGTGGTCTTCGGGTCTTCAAAATTTGGCAATGACGTTGTCTATATAGAACAGAAAATTAGTGTTTCAAGTCGCGTTACTAAGTCGCTTTCTTAAAGACAATATTTGTATCCACCAAAAGGTGTGCAGGGGGTTACAACAAATTTGCCTTCAGGATACAATGAAGCCTGATCTAAAGATCTAGTTTATCGGCATCTGCACCGACGACAATAGATCAGAACACTCTTGATATAATCAAGAAACCAAGACACTGATAATCAAATCTGCATGACTTGATTATCAATAAGAAAAACAGAAATTTGCTTAAGAAATTCTTGATCGAAAATTCAAAATCAAGAGAGAGAGAGAGAGAGAGAGAATTGCAAGAATGCTTTCCAGATCGGACACACAACCGTTTGATTGGTTGGTTGATAGCCAACGGATGACACGTCACTGCCACGTGGAGAAGTGCAAAGTGCGCCATCAAACGCCACACAACCCACTGCTCACGCCATGCGCGTGTGTGAATGGTGCGAAGCACTATCCTTGCGGTGTGAGTGCATGCACACTAACTTACATCCCATTATTCCATATTCAAAAGAATATTCCATGTAGGACTTTATTAAATGCTCCATGTTTTGCTCTCTTTCTAACGTGGGACAAAGTCCCCAAGCTTAATTAATGCTTTCCAAAAAAAAATAATGAAGATTTTGAAAACACCCAAAAATTAAACTATAAATTTTAAAAATCATTTTGAAAATTTCCTAACAAAATTTATCTCTAAAAATTAAAATAAAAATTTTTGATAAATAAATTCGATTCACAAGACCTGTTTTCCTCGTAGAAAGTATCAAAATCTTAGTGGGCAAAATGAAGGCATAGAAAAATTGAATGGGAAGAAATTATATAAAATAAAATAATTTTTTCAAAAATATATATAATAATTTGAAATAGCATTTTTTATTTTTTATTTAAAAATTAAGTGGGGTCAATTGTCCCACTTACCCCAAAATGATAATACCCATGTGGGCATGTGTGTGGGATCGTTGGATATAACCTATTGGCATTGTCTAGCCCAAAGGAAGCATATGCTCGGTTGGGAACAAGCATCAAACTTTTAGTTTTGAATATTATAAATTTAATTAGGTTGGAATTGAATGGGTCATTTATACTCTGCAGTTGATCTATGTCTATTTAACTTTTACCAATTCATGTTGTCTCTAATTTTGAATATATTTATTTTGTTTATTTATATATAAATAATGTGTTGGCTTAACTATAATGGCCCCAATTTTATCAAACTATATAGATTATTTTGATTTATTAGCAACATTTCATATTATTAGATTAATAATCTCGAAGCTTCTTTAAGAGGTAGCTAAAATGTTATTTTTTAGTTAAAAATAAACTTAAAAAGAAATCGAGGACTGCTATATATCATTATTTTATTTCATCGGCTTACATGGCAGAATTTCATTTGCATGCATTAATTTTTAAATAATTATTTTCAAACAAGGGAACTAGTATCTATGTAGGAGATGGTACAAAAAGTAATAAATAATCGGTGATATATAATATTTCTTTATTAATAAAGCTAATTTGTTTGGGAGATTTTTTTTTTAAGGTCTCTGATATTAAGATTTTATAACAAAAAGAACACTTAATATTTTCATAATGTCTAAGGTCCTTCAACATCAATCCAGAAAAAATTTGATCCAGAGAAAATTCGGTTCAAAGAATTTCTCTTCAGACATTCAGAGAAATTCTCTTTATCCAGAGAAAATTCAGATAGTCCAGAGAAAATTTAGACATTCAGAGAAAATTCAGATGGTTCAGAGAAAATTCACACAATCCAGGAAACTTTGCATCATCGTGCATTTTATATGTTTTTTTACAAATATCTTTTCATGAAGGGTTACTATCAAAATTCTATTTGCTAATCCCAGTGCTCTTTGCAGATCAAGTCCAACAAGATGAGGTGGTTGCCAATAAGATCTTGCCATACCTTAGCATAGATAAGAAAGAGAAGAAGTCATTCCCTAGACTTTCAGAGAAAATTCAACTTCAAAGAGAAAATTGATCCAGACAAATTCTGGGAAGAATTTCTCTGGACTTTTCAATTTCTCTGACATTCCCTAGAATTTCTACTGTAAATTTCTCTGGCCTTCCATTCTCTCTAGAGAATTTTTTTTTTTTCCATTTTCCACAGAAATTTTGGAGATAGATATACCCATTCGAGTCCCTGAAAGAGACGAGGAACTTCATGGTGGTTCTGACGATAAAATGTCCTTACAAGAAAATGTGATCGAACTAGCTAAATCACATTTGTCTGTAACGTGCTTTCCCGAGAATATGAACTCCTTATCAAAACATAAAAGCAAAAGTTCTGACAATGATCATACTGATGAGGCGTATAAAGTCGGAGAAATTGAAGACTATGAAGTAAGCTTTTTCACTCATGAAGCTGCTCTCATGGCTCCGCCCCCTTCCATGGTTGCGATTGATCGAAACCTAGAACAAAAAAATATCTGTAACGATTTTATAATATTTGATAGAGTCAAATTTCTCTGTGATATATGAGTGTGAGAGTTGAGGAACCTTAGACATTATAAAATAATATTGTGAATTTCTTCTATTACTAAAAATGGGAGAGGGATCTTAGACTAATTTTCCAATTTGTTTGACATCTTCACAAAATTTTTAAACTTTTCTAATGAGTTTTCAATGTTATTATTTTTATTTTTATTTTTTGAGAATCGAATTTGCCAAAAGAGATGACTTTTTGAGAAAAATGAGTGATAATATAAATTTTTCATCTTGTAATAACTTCATTGAGTAAAGTATTCATACAAAATAATTGAAATGATCTGAAATGAGTAACCACATAATCGTGTCAGATTTGTCTTGAAAATACAAATATAGTTATTTAAAGATAAATATCACCCGATTAAGTAGTTTTCAATATTCTTCTATTCTAATAGCTTACATGGATAATTTGTTTTGTAAATTCTATAAAATAAAGAGTTGGAATTATTGATATGAAATCTAAATTGAACCAACCAACCTCTTCAATTAAATGTCTAAGAGAGAGTGCTTCCCTCAATCACAGCTCACATGGCATGTTCCCATTCAACCCATCAAACGGGCATGATTAAAACCCACCAAAATCATCAAAGATCAACAGCCCTAGGATCTGTCCCATATCCAACTTCAACATTGCCGGTCTTAAATGGTGGTTTTGGGGAGTCAAATAGGACCCATCCTCTTGTATCTCCTCTCTTATGACCGACCAACAAGCCCTAGTTGACCTGTCATTTGCTCCCTCCAAGTCCTCTCCTCTCTCAACCATCCCATATAAAAGATTACCCATTTCATCAGCCGTTTCTTAAAAAAAAAAAATCGTAACAAAGCTCTTTATTTGGAGTTAATAAAATTTTCTTTTGGAAAGTGAAATGGAAAAGCGTGGTCTTGGGGTAGAGATCATGACAGAGCTCAGGCTCGGTCTGCCGGGTGACACAAACACTAATTATGCAGTGGAGAAGAATGAGAAGAAGAGGGTGTTTTCGGAGATTGATCACAAACTGGAGAGCAAGAATGATCAAGTGGTTGGGTGGCCACCGGTGTGTTCATACCGGAGGAAGAATAGCTTTAAAAGTGGCGGCGAAAAGGCAAAAATGTATGTGAAAGTTAGCATGGATGGGGCTCCTTTTCTAAGGAAGATTGATTTGAGTAGTCACAAAGGGTATGATGATCTTGCAATGGCTCTTGAGAAGCTCTTTGGCATAGGTGAGTTATAAGTTGTTTCATGTTTCTCTTCTTTTATGATTTTATTTTATATGGTTAGTTTGAGATGGAAAGTGTGATAGATCATGCAAACTTTTGAAAAAATTATTTAAATACACTTACAAGTAGTTATGCATGTATCAATATGCAAACTTTTTTTCTTGACAAAGTTTCATGAGAAAAGAAATATATGTGCATGCATGTATATATCTATACTATCTACAAAGTGGAGGTAGGAATTGGTGTTGATGTCACAGAATTCTTATTTCCAAAATACCCTAAGAACAGTTATCTTCTTCTATACTGCACATCTATAAATTTAAGAATTCTATAACTACACACCATAGTATATATATATATATATATATATTGGTATAATGCATGAAAGGAGGGATCAAAAGCCAGTTTAAGCCCTAGGTGGCCATGATACTGGTTTTTGTATCTTCCTCGTTCTCAATTTCTATATACATAAAAGAAACCATGAATTAAGGCAAACGTTGAAAACTGAATAATAAAAGAAAATCTGTGTATAAATAAATATGAAACACTTCAATCTTAAATTCTAAATCAAAATAAAATTCATATCATAAATATACTGCTTCACTGATTTTTTAAATTCAAAATAGATTTGAACAGTTACAAATATTGGAGATGCATGTGTTTTGGGTTTTTATGCAACTTGAAAAAAAAAAAAAATCACTAGTGAATCATGATGATAGTTTGACAAGAAAAATTTTGACTTCTGATCTTGATAGTTTATAGTATTTGCTTTCAGCACTAATTATTATTATATTTAATTAACTATCTTTTTCAAAGCGTATGATTTGTTTATAGAATATAATACATGTAATATTTTTTTTGATCGGCAAAGAAAATTTTATTGATGAAGCACGTACAAGGTACAATGAAAAATATCAATAAAGAGGAGTTAAGAGCTATATGAAACTCAAACCTCTTAGTTGGTGAGAAACCAACGAAAAGAGAAATCAAAAAACAAGAACAAAGCTAAGAGCAAAACTGATATATCTCAAAAAAATATAACACATGTAACATGACGTCTGCATAAAGAAAATTTTCAAAATTAGAATTGATAATATTATATTGAGATTGATTATGCCACCAGAAAGAACAAATATATTCATAATATATTAGAAATGCTTAAATATAAACATTTAATTAGTACTTTTATATCTCAAAAAGAGGGGAAAAAATTGTAAATAAAATTACAGTGTGAAAAACTATAAAAAGGCCCATTTGAAATAAGTTTAAGGCCCTCTTATTGGGATTCACGATAGGGAGATGCTTCTCTCAAATTTGTTATCTTAATTGGAGTTATCTTAATTGGAGGGTGTTGTTGAGCCTCAACAAGCTTATCATAGAGCTCGTATCAATGATTTGAACTGTTTAATGTGTGAAGTTTATTGAGTATTTTATCACTGTAAAAATTTATATTGATCGGATATTGATAAGATTACATTTGTATTAACAATTTATTTTTAAAATTATACTTACCGTTGACACAAATGTAATATGATCAGGTAACTATCTATGTCCGATTAACATGATTTTTTTGATGAGATGAAGTACTTAATGAGCTCTACACATTGCATGATTCAGATTGTTGATGTGAATGTGGGCCCACAGAGGTCCAAAAATACCCTCCAGTATGATTTGGACCGGAGAAAAGTGCCTCCCTTTATGATAAACAGTTTTAATAGAAAATTTGAATAATCACCCAGTTTTTAAAACAAAAAATGATTTGTTTCAGTTACTATTTAACTTGCAATATTATTTGGGAAATATTTTTGTGAAATGTAGTAGTTAATTTTTTTTTAAAAATAAAAATAAAAACTTGTTCTTCTTCATTTTTTTTTTCTTCAGTATTTTGTATAAACACAGAAAGAAAGCTATCTGGCATAAAATACAAATTTTGATTGAAGATAAAATATATGAACTATTTGCAAAATTTGGCTATTTTTTTAACAAATGAACTCAAAAGATAAATGTAAGTTAAAAATTTATTTGGGTAAATTACAATTTTCATTCTTAACTTTCACTTAGAACATATTTTGGTCCCTCATCTTATAAAAAATTCTCAGATTTAACCTTTGTTTATCATTAGTTATCCAATCATTTAAAATTTAAGTAAGAATTGAAATATGAAAAATCAAAATAAAATTTGAATGAAAAATAGAGAGTGAAAAAGTATAACTAACTTAATTAATTTGTATGAAAATATATGTGAACAAAAAATTTAACTAAAAATAATAAATCTAACAGGTCATGAAAATAGAGAGTGATTGCATTAATGAAATGAAAGTAATAGGTTGTTTTTTGGGTATTAATTTGGGGGACAGGGGAGGAGTTGAGGGATGAAGAGAGCTCTGAATACGTTCCCATCTATGAAGACAAAGATGGTGACTGGATGCTTGTTGGTGATGTTCCATGGGAGTAAGTCTCTCTCACTCTCTCTCTCTCTCTCTCTCTATATATATATATATAGATCTCCAACCAAATTCCATTACAAAGTATGCTATTAATTAATGGGAGTAAGTCTCTCTCTCTAGATCTCCAACCAAATTCCATTTGGTAGTACTAAATTCATCAATTATTGTACACATTAATATATCAATTACTGTTATGTCATTATTACTGATCCCGCCAATTATATAAATTACAAATATTCAAAACTTTTAAAATTATATCACATCAGTTACTAATATACTAATTAATATATTAATCATTATATATAGCATTATTCCATTCCATTACAAAGTATGATATCAATTAGTCTGAGCTGTGCAATGACCATTGGTATATATAGGCACTCATTACATAGTGGAAATTCAAATAAGGACGCGTTACTGTACCGTTAGGTTTAGTTTTTAAATTAATATTTAAATTAAAAATAAAAAAATATGTTCAATTTATTAATTTTTAAAATTATTTTCTCTCTCATCTCTCTCCTTCTCTTTTTTTTATTAATAAATTAATCAATTATTTTTCTCTCTCCTCTCTCATTTTCTTACATTTTACATATCAATTAATCAAATTTTTTCTTACACCTATTTATTCAACTATAAAAAAATATATAAATTATCTCAAAATTATTTTCAAACTCATAACCAAATAAATTTTCAATTTTCAAAACTCTTTTCAATAATTTATCTTTCAAAATACAACTCAAAACTCTAAACTCTTTTTAAGAACTAAACCAAACTGAGAAAATAATTTTACAGACTTTTTATACAAAATTTTTGGGGATAAATTACGTTCACCTTTTTTCAGATTTGAAAAAAATACAATTGACTCAGTATAATTATATTAAAAGAGATATATAGTAGATAAAATTTTAAATGCCTCTAACATTGCTCTTTCATATTCACCCAAAAAAAAAAAAAAAAAACTTATTTCTTTTTTATGAACAAAAAACTAATAACAAATTTTATCATATATGCAAACACACACACACACATATATATACATATAATATAATATATAAACTATGTATACACATAAAATAAAATCAAATATTATAGAAGTAATTTTTAATTGGATAAAGAAATTTTTTTGATACAAAATAAATAAAGAATGTAATATAATAAAAGAATGTGATATATATATTTTATAATGAAAAATTATTTTATTTATAAAATAAGATATATATTTTTAGATTGTTAATGATAAATAAACCCGGCCGGGGCAATCTTCTCTTAATTTCATCATTGTCGTTGGATATTATTGGACTCATTTTGATCATTCTAGTTGACTTTCAAATTTTCGCTCCGACTGAGTCAACTCCGCGTGTTTTGTAGGCAAAGACTTCTAGCCAACTGAGTCAACTCTGGTTATTGCTAAAACTACCAATTAAGCATCAATGATAATTCAGTAAGGCACTGGTTTGGTCCAGTTCAAGATCGGACTGGACCGTGCTGTTTGTCTGTAAGGTCCATTACGGGTCTCGTTTTGATAATCTGAATCGTTCAATGTGTAGAACTCGTCGAGTACTATATGCCTGTAAAAAATCACGTTGATTAGATATCGATAGCTATGTGAACAAAATAATTTTTTATCAACCGTTAATTTTTTCACCGTCCATTTTTTTTATACAAAACTGATTTGATCACATAGCTATTGATATCCGATCAACGTGATCCCTCATCTTATAAAAAATTCTCAGATTTAACCTTTGTTTATCATTAGTTATCCAATCATTTAAAATTTAAGTAAGAATTGAAATATGAAAAATCAAAATAAAATTTGAATGAAAAATAGAGAGTGAAAAAGTATAACTAACTTAATTAATTTGTATGAAAATATATGTGAACAAAAAATTTAACTAAAAATAATAAATCTAACAGGTCATGAAAATAGAGTGTGACTGAATTAATGAAATGAAAGTAATAGGTTGTTTTTTGGGTATTAATTTGGGGGACAGGGGAGGAGTTGAGGGATGAAGAGAGCTCTGAATACGTTCCCATCTATGAAGACAAAGATGGTGACTGGATGCTTGTTGGTGATGTTCCATGGGAGTAAGTTTCTCTCTCTCTCTCTCTCTCTCTCTAGATCTCCAACCAAATTTCATTTGGTGGTACTACATTCATTAATTATTGTACATATTAGTATATCAATTAATCTTATGTCATTATTACTGATCCCATTTATTATATAAATTACAAATATTTAAAATTTTTAAAATTATATCACCACATCTATTAATATACTAATTAATATATTAATCATCATATATATACTCCCTCCGTCCCAAAATATTAGTCCCTTATTCCATTTTTCATTGTCTCAAAATATTAGTCCCTCTTCAAAAATCAAGTATAAAAATAATATAAATTTCCTATTTTACCCTTCTTTTAAATTAATAAATAACATAAAAAGTACAATTATGTATTGATATTTCCAAAAAATGTACTATCAAAAGGATAATTTTGAAAAATCAATTTTTTTTAAATGCAATAATTATACTATTAAAAAAAATTAAATACCCAAAAAAAAACTATTATTTTGAGACGAATGGCGTAACATTATTCCATTCCATTACATGGTATGACATCAATTAGTCTGAGCTGTGAAATGACCATTGGTATATATAGGCACTCATTACATAGTGGAAATCCAAATAAGGAAGCGTTATTGTACCGTTGGGTTTAGTTTTTAAATTAATATTGAAATTAAAAAATATATATATGTTTAATTTATTAATTTTTAAAATTCTTTTTAAAATTATTTTCTCTCTCATTTCTCTCATTCTCTTTTTTTTATTAATAAATTAATCAATTATTTTTCTCCCTCCTCTCTCCTCTCTCATTTTCTTACATTCTACATATCAATTAATTAAATTTTTTCTTACACCTATTTATTCAACTATAAAAAAAATACAAATTATCTCAAAATTATTTTCAAACTCATAACCAAATAAATATTCAATTTTCAAAACTCTTTTCAATAATTTATCTTTCAAAATACAACTCAAAACTCTTTTTAAGAACTAAACCAAACTGAGAAAATAATTTTACAGACTTTTTATACAAAATTTTTGGGGAAAAATTAGGTAAGATAAAATTTTAAATGCCTCTAACATTGCTCTTTCATATTCACCCAAAAAAAAAAAAAAAAACTTATTTCTTTTTTATGAACAAAAAACTAATAACAAATTTTATCATATATGCAAACACACACACACACACATATATATATACATATAATATAATATATAAACTATGTATACACATAAAATAAAATAAAATATTATAGAATAATTTTTAATTGGATAAAGAAATTTTTTTGATACAAAATAAATAAAGAATGTAATATAATAAAAGAATGTGATATATATCTTTTATAATGAAAAATTATTTTATTTATAAAATAAGATTTATATTTTTAGATTGTTAATGATAAACAAACCCGGCCGGGGCAATCTTCTCTTAATTTCATCATTGTCGTTGGATATTATTGGACTCATTTTGATCATTCTAGTTGACTTTCAAATTTTCGCTCCGACGGAGTCAACTCCGCGTGTTTTGTAGGCAAAGACTTCTAGCCAACTGAGTCAACTCTGGTTATTGCTAAAACTACCAATTAAGCACCAATGATAATTCAGTAAGGCCAGCTTTGGTCCAGTCCAAGATCGGACTAGTCCAAGATCGGACTGGATCGTACTGTTGGATCTGTGAGGTTTATCACGGATTCCGTTTTGATAATCTGAATCGTTCAATGTGTAAAACTCGTCGAGTACTATATGCCTGTAAAAAATCACGTTGATCGGATATCGATAGCTATGTGAACAAAACAGTTTTTTATCAACCGTTAATTTTTTCACCGTCTATTTTTTTATACAAAACTGATTTGATCACATAGCTATTGATATCCAATCAACGTGATTTTTTATAGGCGTGTAGTACTCGATGAGTTCTACACATTGAACGGTTAGGATTATCAAAACGGGCCCAAAAAATAGGCCTCATGGGCCGAACTGGACGGATCCAGTCTTGATCTCAACTTGAGACAAGCTGAACCCATTCAGTAATTTTCCATAAATATTTTTTTCAAAATATTGTACAAAAATTATTATTTGACTTATTATGGTCTAAACATAATATGACATTATTATTTCATTTCAAAGAAAAATTATACATATACTTTTTTTGACCATGTGGCAATTTGCTTGATAATTATTATATATAATGTCATTTCCCCGACACATAATTATTTCTTTTATCTCTATATATGTTTGTAACAATGGGGGCATATTTGTGTTCATGTTTTTAAAAAATATATTTAAAAAAACAACCTTATGTCTCATTAACACTGTTTCAAGCATATTTCAAAATAATTGTGTTAAAAATAAAATGCATATTTCAAAATAATCATTATTTTACATCCTTACCCTTGGCCATAAATATGCCACTGACCAAAGTAAGAGGAAATAAATCGTAGGATTATAATTTCTCATTCAAATGAGAAAATAAAAAAAATTATTAAAATTTCTCATTATTTTATTTGAATGAATAATAAATAAAAGAGAATATACACGTATTTTATTTGTTTTGTTTTGTTTTTTGTTGGGTAATTTAAGTACTATAAATTTTTTATAACTAACAATTTTCTTTACAAAACATGAATTTATCTTTCTCACTATTTCTCATTTTTTATTTAATTTTTATTTTATAATCGTGAATCCTTCGTAAGACTATTTTATAATCGTGAATCCTTCGTAAGACTCTCCCTAGAGAGTCTAGATCATCTAGAGTAATTTTTTGCGAAGTGATTTTTTTTATGATTGAATTTTTTTTTAAAGTAATATTATTGTGTTAGTACTATTATATCCTTAACCTTTTTTTTTATAAAATATTAACCATTCAAAAAATTACTCAAAAATCACTCTAGAGAATGTTGTTTCCTATTAAGAAGCACAAATTAAGAATATATATGACCAACCGATAAAGTAAGACATTAGAATTCCTACATAAGATCTTCTAAATATAATTTGAATGACTTACCATTCGAAGTAATCTTCACCATTCATTTATCATCTTCTTAATCTTGTCCTCTCATTTTTTTCCCTTGCCAAACCAATCAATCTAAATGTATAGAAAAAGAGTAAATTTTGTGCTCAAATTATAAATTTAAAATAGAAATTTATAATAAAAAATAAAAAAGAAGGTAAATATAAATTAAAATTTTGTCACTTCACAAAATTTCTTTCCTTTAAAAAAAAAAAAAAAAACCTGAATTCTAAATGTTGCCGACAAACGCAAAGTCACCATAATAATTCTCTTTGAATTTAGATGACAATGACAATAATGAACTGAGAGTAATCGTACCTTTTGTTTTTGAACAAAGTAATCGTACCTGGTCCATGCAAAACATTATCACATCGAAAGCTTTTGGACCACATTCCAAATACTAATGCAGCCGAGTCTCCAAATTTAGGTCAAGTTTGGGAAGACTAAATAAGTGTACTTTTTGTCTTTTTAAACTAAAAAGTTAAGGTTAAAAATATGAATGTTTGGGTTAATTTTTTGACTTTTTATGGAAAAATGTGTAATAAAAAATTGTAAAAATTGATTTGTAGGAGAAAATTAGAATTGGGAGTTGTGCAGCCGTAATTGTTGACTTTTGATGAATAGTGATAACTTTTTAACTTTTTGAGTAACTTTTTGAATTTTTAGCTTTTTGGGTGTTCCCAAACATGGCCTTAACTAGGGTGCAACTTGACTAGGCTAGGCTGGTTGAATAGCTGTTCATGCTCAGTTTCAGTTGTATTGAAATCTCGTTTGATATGCAATTGTTTTACTCTAAAGGGTAAATTAGACTGTCACATCTTTGAGATTTATATTTATTATAATTTATTTTTTTATATTTAAAAAATTATATTGATCTTTGTTAATTTAATTTTATTTATGATGATTATTACAGTGAGGGAAGAACTATTATGAAATTTTAAACATCAAGAAATAATCTGTAATGAAATTTTAAACCTCAGAGAGGGGATGTAATTTTTAAAAATATTTTTTTTTTTTGTAAAAAATTAAAAAATTATCCTAAATATACTAATTTTTTAACTTTATATTTTAGTCAAAAAATTAAAAAATTATTAAAATAACTTGTTCCCAAGCGAGGCCTCAGAGTGTTACTCAAATCTATTTAAGGCCTCGTTTGGGAACATGCTTTTTTAGTAATTTTTTGACTTTTTAGCTAAAATATGTTGTAAAAAAATTAGTATATTTAGAATGAATTTTTGATTTTTTACAAAAAATATGCAAAATAATAGAAAGAAAACGTAATTTTTGATTTTTTGATATAGATTGTTAGCTTTTTGATTTTTTTTAACTAAAAAAATTACTTGCCAAACGAGACCTAAGTTTGATCTTTAATTAAATTTGCCTATTCAAGTCGGACCGATTATAATAATTTGAATTCCATTCCGGCTTGAAGTACTCACAAATTTAAGGTAGTGTTTGGTAAAGTTTTAAAATTATGATTTGAGAATAGAATTGTATTTTGAGTTTGTGAGTTTTAGAATTATGATTTGAAAAAAGAAAATTCGTTTAGTTATGAGTTTTGAGTTGAATTTTAAATTTTTGATGTGACATATGAAATGACAAAAATTGTTTAATTATGAATTTTGAAAAGAGTTTTCAAAACTTAATTCAAAAATTTATAACTTATAATCAAACACACAACTCAAAACTCTATTGAAAATTCGATTCAAAACTTATAACTAAACTCTTTTTAAAATTCAATTCAAAAAAATAATTTGTCATTTTGGTCTAACAAAATAATTTGTATATTTAAAAAATATCAAAAACAAATATAATTTTTTTTTCTTCCAAATTACAGGTGACGATTGACAATTGTAACAAATAATAATAATAAAATAAATAAATTGTATTGTTCCGATCAAACGGCAGGACATTCAGAAGAATGTTCGGGCGGACAACCGGGTAGATCAAAAATTTAAAAATTATCTGGTTTACCAATAATGTTTTCAAAATATATTTTGCAATTGATTTGGAATCATAATTTTAAAATTCAAACCAAATATAACATTCAAATATAACGGTGGGAGCTTGATTCGAAAATCACTCCAAACACAGAATTTTTTGTTTTGCAACTGGACTATTAAAATTAGATTTTGTTAATATTTGGGAGATAAAATCATATATATATATATATATTATTAAAAGTAATATTTTTGTCTCGTTTAGGTGGCACATTATAAGACTTTACTTTTTTTTCTAAGAGAGTCACTTCATCATGTATTTTTTTTAATTACATACAGAATTCTACACAAATCCAAACTTAATTTAAATTATACAAACTTTACTTATTTTATATGGACTCTATTTGATAAATATTTTCCTTTCCATACATTTTTCATGATAAATTGAGATAATCCAGAAATGTAATATTAATTTTGTGTTTCATGTTTTTTTTCTTAATTTTTGAAGGGTATTAGGATTTTTTTTAATGCTAAATTGCTTTTTTTTCTTCTTCTTATTTGCTCCTATTTTATTCTATATCTAATACTAATTATATATTATTCTATATTATGAATTTATCGTTTAAATTTTATATATGAAATTATATTTTATTTCTTATATTATTTTATATAATCACAACGCACATGAAGAAAAATCTGCATAACAATGATACTCTCAAGTAACCTCTAAAGTTTGGATTTACTGTTTGAATTATTTTTTTAATTGTTGAATAGTAAATTATTTTATGTTTTGACATCATATTACAAATGATTAATCACTTTACACACTGAGATGTATCTATTGTTTGGATATTTTCATTTTTTTTTCTTTTTGGGTTTAAATGTTGTTATGTGATTCTTTCTTGGTTAGTCATTGTTGAATTTCTTTTATATAATTGATATTTTAATTTTAATTAAGTGTGTTTATTTTATAATCTTATAATTTAATATATATATATATATATATATCATATAAAATCATTATATAATAATCCAACTACAACATATTTATATATGATTTTTTAAACAAATTTTATATAATTTCTATTTCTACATATCTTATTTTCCAAATGAATATAAAAGAAAATTAAATAGTTAGAATTACTTTTAATTTTATGTTACTAATTATTTTTTTAATTTAACTATTATTTTTAATATCAAAATGAGTATTTACTTTACTATTTTATAATTTAATATATATCATACAAAATTATTATATGATAACTACACTTTTATAATACGATAGAACTAAAATTATAAAAATACACAAATAAGTTAACTAAAATCAATATATATAAGTATTCAAATAACAATTTTATAGAACGATAGAGTCAATATTATCAAAATAAATAATTAAAATCATTCTTTAATTTAAATTTCAATTAAAACTATCATTTATAACACATATTGTACCATCAAATATTTTTTGAAAAAAAAAAATAACAAGTGCATTGCATGAGTTATAGCGACCCCGGTCTTCTCCCATTTGATTATTGTATCCGGACTTAGGTTCCGTAGATTCTGTCATTGTATAACGAAGAGAATAAGTTTTTTTATTAATTTGTTAATTTTTAATTAAAATATAATGTAAAAAAATTAATATATTTGGGATAACTTTTAAAATTTTTAAGAAAATATGTGCAAAAAGTAGAGAAAAAAGGAAATTTGTGACTTTTTGATATAGGTTATTACCTTTTTGATTTTTTTAGTAATTTTTTGAGTTTTTAATTAAAAAAATCACTTGCCAAACAACGCCTGAGAAAGGAAAATAGTAGGTTTTATATTGTGTTATTTGTATATATAATGATATGCATAATTAGTAGTTGTTTGGAGTTATTTTTATGTTGCTTTTTGATTTTTTATAAGCTAAAAAAGTTAATCTGTTTGGAAAGTTACTAAAAAAACTATTTTTGTGAGTGAAAAAATTAATGTGACATCTGACTTTTTTAGTTGATGACAAATCAACTTATAAGCTTTTCAGTCGTTTCAGTTAAAAAAAAAACTAACTTTTTCGAGAATTCCCAAATAAGTTCATAATATGATCCAAAGATCCAGATTATTTTAACATCATCGAATGATTAATAAATATATATTTTATATATTTAAATATACAATTTGAGTTTTGAGTTTGCTCGGATTGTTGGAGTTTTTGCCCGAACCTATCCAAATTTAATTCAGACTTGTAAATTTCTACTCAAGCCCACATCAAATTAAAAAAATATATTATCCAAGACCAAAAACAATTTCGAATTGGGATTGGGTTGCTGGTAAAACTATGTTGTCTGACTCAAATTGTAAAACAAATTGGATTGGTATATCTCCTACCATATTTTCTTCATAAAATAGGATGCATAAATTAACATAGTGATCTTTCTTTAAGAGGTACAAAAGCCTAATAATCATCAATTAACAACAATTTGCAGGATGTTTACTGAATCATGCAAGAGATTGAGGATCAAGAAGAGATCAGAAGCCATGGGTACTATTGATCGCCATACAAAAAACTTTCTCAAGGGAGCCTCAAAAGATGGATGATCTCAAAATTGCTTGTGGTTGGGAATGGAGAACTCTATTTAGACAATTTTTTTTTAATTAATGCTAATTTCATATATGTTTGTTATTTATGTGAGTAAAGTACTTAGATTGATCTAAGATGGGATTATCAGCAACACTCACTAAAGACAGTATTGGTTGCATTTCATTGCCAAATTCATTGCCAAATGACACTTCATAAAATTGTTTCAAGATAAATTACAAATACACCCTCTGAGATTTACTTAAATTACAGATTATCCCTTGATTATGCCTCCTAAGGTTTCTAATTTTATAGCAAATAGGCCATTTTATTAATAAATCATAAAATTAATTAACAGTTTTTAATAATGTTAAAATTTTATTTCAATTAATAATTCAGATAATTTTATTATTTTATAGGTGAACAATAAGAAATTTAACTTTTTCAATTAATTCTATTAAATAAAATTTTTGACAAGGAGATATTTATAATTTTTCAAACTATAGGAGGTAATTCGTATTTTAAGTAAATCTTAAACAATGTATTTGTAATTTACCCATTGTTTTATTTACCAAATATTTTTTCAGAAACCAATGAGACATCTTCAAGCTTCGCTCAAGTTCCTAGGTGTATACCACCTGAGCATTGGAATTTTTTACCCTCACAGGGTAGCTTATATAAGTACTATACATATAATTTTCAAATCATTTTCATTTTGGTATCTTATATTTTAATTATATCAATTTGTTTACTAATGTGTTCAATTTGTGTTTAAACGATACTAATTATCTTTTATGTCTAAATTTTGTCCAAAATTGAAAAAAAATTACTTATCTTTTATAAGATTTAAACAAAAAACGATACTATAGATCATTTAAACATAAATTTGATAAGCTAGCGACCAAATTAACACAAATATCAATGATACAATGACACAAAACACAAACTTTGGGGACCAACAATGTATTTAATGCATTAATTTATCACAAGTGTTTTGGTTTCTCAAAGTTGGATTCATGTTATGAAACCCTAAATTTCTAGTGCAGTGGTTAATTAATGATCCATTTTATGGAAACTGTGTGACTTTAGGCTTCATTTTTCTAGAATCATGCATAATTTGTTTTTAACTCTTTGACGAAAGAGATTGAGAGAGAAATAAAAACCAAGCGTTAAAACATAAGGACAATAAACAATTACTTGACCCTATTTATCTTTACTTGGGTGAAGGTTACTAAAGACATAAAAGGTTATTACAGATAAAAAAGTTAAAAAAATAAAAATAAATAAATAACTTTTTTATAAGTTCCCAAATAGCTACTAAAATCATGGGATCAGAAAAAAAAAAAATTAATTTCTTGAACACATGCATTTGCTACATGTTCATGATCACGTTAAGATTCTTGTATTCATCCAATTTCATGCCATTTATGCGGCATCATGTTCTTAGTTTATTATTTAATTTTTAAAAATATATACAATGTTCCTTCAATGTCTTGATCATATATTTTCCCTTAAGTAGTTTTTAACTACTGAATCAAACACTGTCAGAATATAATTATTAGAGACTTATTTATTAGTTTTATTGGAATCAAAGAATCTTTCAACTTAATCTAGGACATGAATTTCAATTTAAAAAAATAAAAATCTAGAACATGAATTGAACTCAAAGTCAAAATCAAAACTAATTTCTTAAACTTGAGATGATTAATGATTAGTAAATAATAGAGAATCTGTGGAACTTAAACCATGTTCGGAGCATACAATGTTCTCATATTCTTGGTGCATGCATTGATTGTATTTGGGAAAGAAATTTGGGTGATTCTATTTACCTTACAAAAACATCTCCTTACACTTTTCATTTTTTTTCTTTAAAATTTTTCTATTAAAATTTATCTTTACTTAAAATTATCCAAAAGTACTTAAATTCAAAAGATCCAAAATTTAAATTTCTCATCACATCCAACACTTTTTCAAGATTTTATTTTCGCATTATACCCATTACTTTCCCATCATCTCTATTGGTCCACCACCACTCCCCTACTGCCACTACCCATTTTTCCTTCGTATCGCTCCTTTTTCTCTTCATTTTCCTTCTTCTCTGAACTTTAAATTTGAAAATCCTATTTCTTTCTATTTTTTTTTTTTTTTTTGTCATGGTGGAATTGGGAGAGAAGGAATCATAGTAGTGGTTGGGGAAAGGGTGTTGCAATGGGGTAAAGGGGCTAGGTTGAGGGGTTAGACTGCAGAAGGGGTCGATGGTGGAAGAAGGGGATCATAAGTGAAGGAGAGAGGGTCACAACGGGGTAGGGGGGTCATGGTTGGATTGGGGGTTAGTTGGAGGTAAAGGAGATAGCGATTGGCGCAACCGGAGGTAGTGGTTGGGAGTGGGGTAGAGTTAGGATTTAAAAAGTTAAGGGCATAAGACCATCTCCAACGGTGAACCAAACTTTGCATCATATTTGAAAATTGGTGAAAAAATCATTTTTTGGAGCTCCAATGGTTTCATCAAATTGGTATCAAAATGAGAATGGAACAACAAATTCATCAAAGTGAGAACAAGCTCCAGATTTCACCATTTCACTGTGAGTTACCGTTGAGGTGGGCCGATCAGTCAACCAACCAGTTGACCGGTTCCCTTTCAAATAGGTAGGTTCAAACCGATCAAAAAGGTTCAAACAGGTAAAAAAAAAAAAATTTTGCTTTACCGGTTGACCGGCCGGTCAACCAACCGGTCGACCACTTCCCTTTTGATGCACAGTTGGAGCAAATGATATCAGATTGAGAAAATTGGCTTTTTTTTACTCAAATTTAGTGAAAATTTTGATTCACCGTTGGAGAAGCTCTAAAGATGAGAGTAAGATTTGGCATTATGATAGGTGTAATTAGATAAAATTAAAATTTTAAATTTGTGAAGAGAATGTAATTTTAAAAAAAAAATGGAATCACCCAAGAAATTCGCATGATTAACGCACCGAATGTGAACTCTTTTAACTTAATTAATTTTCAGATAATCTATTCTGCATTAAGCACATGTATTTTAATCCACCACAGCTAACTAAACTACCATTTTATGATTCAACTGCGACATGATGGGTCTGTTTGTTTACTCGGGAAATGGGATTTGATTGTTTAATTAGATTAGTTATTATTAATTCATATTATATAGTTGGCCAAGATAACATTGTTTCAAGTCAGATTGATCATTCATGCTTATTCACTGTCTTATAGGCATTAACTCTGTATCTTTCACCATTTTTGATGTAATTCCCTAGCCTAAATGCAATGTATGACAATTAAATTTGTTGGACAGTTGACCATATGTCTACAATGAAATGATTTAATTTATAGGTTCAGTGAACTCTAATTGCTTGAGAAGCGTGAAAACGCAAAAGTTTAGTTACAACAGTAGTATACATGAATCATTTTCAATTAACATATATAGTAGTGTGTATACAAAGTTTAGTTATATACAGTCTCTTGTATACATGAATCATTATCTCTATTTGTATTTTGACTTTAACTATTACAATTTATTTATTTATTTTTAATAAATTAGACTAACTCAATTGATCAACTCCTGTATGATATCATTTTTTTTTGTTTTTTTTGCAAGCACTATTTTAGCTTTTATCTTTGCAATTCATTAGTTCTCTTCTATTATAGAAGTCCTTTGTTGTAATAAGTTGTTTATTTTTTTGCATTATAGATTTTGGGTTTCTAACTATGTGCTGTTATATGAAATAGTTTTAATTATATTTAGAAAAGAAGACTTCTACAAACTTTTAGTTACCTTAAGGCCAATTTTGGCATGATTGAAAAAAGACAAAAATTCAAAAAGTCATTGTCCTATTTAAGTCACATCATCTTATTTAAGTCACATCACCTCTCTAACACATCACTTCAAACTCAACCCAAACCAAACCCAACTCATATTTCATAAAAAGTCAAAAAGTGCACTTATTTAGTCTTCCCAAACTAGGTCACATTTTGTTAAAATTTTCTTTTAATGGGCACCAATAAACGCCAATAATGGGCATTTGTTAGTGTGCCTTGCACGCGGCCAATTCACTAGTATTAATTAAATTTTTTTTTTTTTTTGAGTCAATTGATAGGAGATTAATTATAATATAAGAAATATTTATATCATTAGAGGCTAGTCCGCAACAAGCTAACAATCACTACTAATTATATTCATCTCCCATATTGGGGAGAAATAAACCACCACTATAAAGGGTATTAAACCACCACTATAAAGGGTATTAAACTCATTTTTATAGCAATTGAACCCAAAACATCACACTATAAAGGGTACTATACAACTATTACGCCAATTACCCTGGTTAATTGAGAGGTTATAGAGTCAATTCTTACCAAATGTAAAGATTAATTATTTTTTCTTCATTAGGGTGACTTTTTGTTATAATTTTTACCAATTGATCCTCAAAAAGGGTAAATTACACAAACTTCCCTTGAGATTTGCATGAATTACATAAAGTTATATTCATCTCCCATATTGGGGAGAAATAAACCACCACTATAAAGGGTATTAAACTCATTTTTATAGCAATTGAACCCAAAACATCACACTATAAAGGGTACTATACAACTATTACGCCAATTACCCTGGTTAATTGAGAGGTTATAGAGTCAATTCTTACCAAATGTAAAGATTAATTATTTTTTCTTCATTAGGGTGACTTTTTGTTATAATTTTTACCAATTGATCCTCAAAAAGGGTAAATTACACAAACTTCCCTTGAGATTTGCATGAATTACATAAAGCCTTGCAAATTTGGCAGAATTACAACGGAACCCCTTAAGACTTTAATTCACAAAACGTTTCTTTAGTTGAATAGATTAAAAAAATATTGATATTATCATCTCTTTTAAATTAAAATATTTATTTTTACTCTTATATATTCATGTGCAGGGAGTTATATACGTAATAATACTAATATTGTGAAATTTGTTGTAATAAAATGCAAATCCAAATTTCGTTTCTTAGGACCCCCTCTTTTTTTCTTTTTTCTTTCCTTCCAAAATATCATTTCCTACATTTGTGTATAGACCCCACTCCAATTTACATTCACATTGAAATTTCCCTATCATCAATCTTGTCCTACATGCAAAAGAGAAAAATCTCATCAACAAAGAAAGATTGATAAAGATCAAATGTAACGAGTTGTCAATTTAAATGAGACCATTAACAAACAAGAAAGGTACGATTTTAATGGAA